ATAACTGTGGACTCCAGGCGTAGTGGAATCACCCGCTGGCATTCATGCTTTTGTAAAAGGCTCATCGAAGCTATACGATCAAGTGGACGAAGCAACGAAGCATCGACTATCAAGTCCTTGTTGCCGGGCAAGGATTCCAGTAAGTGCACCAACTCCCGCCGGGTGACTTCCGAAAGTAGCCCCAAAGGCTGCTCGCAGAGATCAGTCATGTCCTGAAATACAAGTGGTATGCATCTCTTCGATGAAATGGGAGTAAATGCTAATCTACAGGTAGGTGTCAGACTCATACGATCACCGGGTTCGTCAAGTTCACCCCATTCGCCATTGGTCAATTCTGTGATTTCACCAACAGCGGATGAGTGAATCGGACGAAATGGTTCGAAGATAAGTCTGGCACCTACCACACCTACGAGGGAGGTTCTTTTGGTCAAAGTGGCCTTTTCAAAGAAACTAATCCGTCGTTGAGACGCATCGAACGCTGATTCCTAATCTTTCTTCGTTTTCTGCCAGCGCTTTTGTACGCCAAACTATGAGAGTTTTTTGGGTTAAAATTTCAGGCTTATTGGAACAAAATTAGTCAGAATTACTTAAATTGCCCAATGTTAATCATCGGGACAAAAAACGAATACCTATTGTTCAGAATACTCATACTTAACACTGCTCTACTTGAGCACTGAAAAGACCGTAACATTTGTTTTTTACCTAGATTATGCACCAAAAATTTGCAACAAAAACCTTCATAACTCAGTCTGCAGAAGGCTTGGCAGATAACGAAATCAGATTTGTGATCTTCAAAGTGGTTTACAACTCATTTGGAAAAGCCACTTCGATTAACGGACCTCCCTCGTTAGCAATAAAACGTTGAAGCGTCAATGCTTATGATGTTTATCCAAGGATGGACATGGACTCATTGCCTGATATGTCTTGGCTTAGAAAAAGATGGATTAGAAACGCTTGTTAGCAAATGCATATAATGCAGTCATACCGTTTGAAGCTTTGAATCTCGAAGTTTTGCACAGCAAAAAATGCAAAGAGAGCAACCGACAGGAAGCTGTCAGGCTCCGCTCATGAGCGCCCAGGAGCGTTCAAATTTCTTCAACCTTTCTTCACATATCTTTCTTGACCTAGAAACGTTAGCACAGCACAAAAGGTGCGTGACCAGATGATGAAGAGAAATGAGAAATGTGAAGGAGGGAGGGAATCGCATTTGGTTTTGGACCTTTTGAGCACTTTCAAGCGAAGTCTGACAGCTGACATAATAGCGTTGCAGACTGGATTCATCAATCCTTTCTTAGCAACTGCGTGCACGATTCCATTATAAAAATAATCATGGATTGGAATAGTGCGATTTAGTAGACCACTACAGGAAAACGTTGATTCAAAAGAAAAAACACAAAGAAGGGTAAAAAACGCACCTGCTGCTAGCACTTCTCAATCAGATTGGATTGCAACTCATTCTATCAAATCAGACGTTCTTGCGGCTGAAAATGCCAAAATTAATGTCGGTACAAAGGCCAGAAATTTCTATCAGCACCTACTTGACAGCAAGATTCAGCTCGAGGCAAGAGGGTCAACTGCTAACCTCTTGAAATTCAGACCTGAAATTACAAGGGTAAATTTTTCAAATGTATGGATATTCAAATTTTACGAGAAAAACAGCTGACGCGAATATTGATGCTACGGTCAGTTGGTATACGACGCATTTGCGCGTAATGCTCGACGTTTGCTGTGTAGAAGTTGTGAGGACGTGTGAGCGCGCCAATGTCTACTGCCATTTGAATTTCAAATTTTCTGTTTGTAAGCTTTCGCAAAGCTCTTTGATTCTGTTTTTTATATCATTTGCTTTCACGAAAACATACGACTTCATGTTCGATTTCTGGTACTGACTCAGTGTTCAAGTCCAGGGCTTTTTGACCAATCTATAT